TATAATGTTGGGGGTGCGTGGGGAGGGCTGTGCAACACAGAGAAGACAAGTAGTGATTCTACAGCATCTTACTATGCTGATGGACAGTGACTGTAATGGGGTTTGTGGGAGGGACTTGGTGAAGAGGGGACCCTAGTAAACATAATATTCTTCATGTAATTGTAGAGTAATGATAACAACAACAAAAAAATAACAATTAAACTATCCATGGGTCTCTTTATATAAAAGGGATTATCAAAAGATTTTAACTTTAGCCAAATTAATATAAAACAAAATTCAAAACATTAGGAAATGTGAGCTTTGGTAAAGATAACAAACAATTCCTTCTTGGGCTGCAAATAGGTTGCCAAGTCCCAAATGAAAGAATTTATTTTTAAACTGTAACACTGAAATCCAGTGCAAACGATTCCGAAGTTAGGGTGAAAAAGAATTGGAAGGATTTCTACATTAGCTACTTTTACAAGACAATTCCAACCACATAGTTATATACACAGAAATTGAATCTCAAGTGGAGGAAAGTGGGGACCACTCTTTGTGCTTTAAATAAATTACCTAAAAGAAGAACGTTCATGTTTTGTGCTTCTAGACACTCTGTGATTTCTATTGCTTTCTTCAGGCAACGCCTAAAATAAGAGATAAGAAAAACGGGAATTAGTTCCTGGGCTTGGTTTCAAAACACTAAGAAATTTAGAAATAGAAAACTGAAGATCAAGTCAGATCATCTCATTTATTTTTTCATGCTAAAATCCCCCAGAAAAGCAAGTTACCATTTACACTATTCAGATACTATAAGACATTTACAGTATCTAGACACTTTAAAATTTCAGAAGGGAATCCTGAAGTGATGTAAAAATGCTCATAGGTGATTATTAAACTAGAAATCCTCATTAAGGACTCATACCTGAGTGTGGCCAGTGAGTCCCACTAAGACCCATAAAGGCTTTTATCTGGAAATTGTGCTGCATGTCCATTTTGTTTAATTCAGGGTCACGGGCCAATTGCTGTCAGTATGGCTGAGAAGATCCCATATGGCCAGGGGTTCTTTTGTCTCTCCCTAGGTACACTATCCGCTTTGAGAATGTTGCCGCTATTTGCAGCTCTGACTTCCCCACTCAGAACTAGGGACTTCATGTATGCTATTCTCCGCCTACAGTGCCGCCTCTCCTGCCCCTGACCCTTCATCTGGTTAAGAAAAAAGGGTTCTTTTCTTTATAACATTTATCAGGTTTGCAATTATAAATTCAAATTACGGGACACACAGCAGGCTCTCTAAAATATATTTGTTGGTCAGTGTTCGGAGGGCAGAGGCCCCTTTCCACAAGCCCGCTGGCAGAGTTGGCAGGCACGTCGTGCTAGCGTAAAGGAATTCTTCCCTCTCCCCAAAAGCATGGTAGGGTCAGAGCTGGTCTCACACCCCTGACCATCACTTCTGGTCTGTGCCTTTGTGCTCTCCAATATTTAACGGCAACAAAGAGGAGCTATTTAACTTATGAAGTAAGAAAGGGAGTATAATTCTATCTCTGGGAATCTTAGCTTAATTCCAAAACTCAAAATGACTAATTGACATTAATCATGAAAACTCTTTAAATAAATAATATACACCTAAGACACAGAATTCAAAAAGGTACTCAGTAAAAAGTCAGTATCCCTACTTTTTCTAATCCCCCATTTCCTCCCCAGAGGCCAGCGGGTTGCCTCAATTAGAATTTTGGGTTACAGCACCCCCTTTTCTGTAGCCTCTCAATGCCTAGTCTATGGTCTAGAGAGTAGATGTCTTTGTGAGCAGGTAGCATGCTATAAACTCTGATCAAACATGCACAGAAATACTAAATAACAAATGTAAAATACACCTGAATCCTGAATAGAACATGTAATCAAAGAATATTTAACTATGAAATATAAAACAGCTAATTCGTCAATTTGATTTACTACTTTGAATGAGAGACCTTATTCATGAGCAAAACAATGGTTTGAAATACCTGATTATGTCAAGCCAGCTACTGCTTTCCAATAGAGAAAACCACTTTATATCTGTGTCCCAAAATTCGGTACTATTATCTGAAAGAGAAAGGAGGAAAGAAATCAGGCCACTATTCACTGACAGGCCTGCCACAAAACACCTGTGCTACCCAACTGTGCTGTTCAGATGAACACTTCAACTGCACGATCCCAGCACAAGTCTTTCATTTTTAAGTAAAGGAAGTTTCAAAACTTCAGCTGAAATGGTTCTTGAGCTGTACTCCCCAGGAAGGGTGTGGCAGTCATAATCAATTTTTATAGCTCAAATAGAAAGCACCCTAAATAAGTATCCAAAGCCACAACACAGCCTATAACTCCACAAAAAGAGCAGCTGCTCTAGGCAGAGAGAATCGACATGCAGGCTACTGTCCCTACAAGTGGAAAAAGTGACAGGATACATCCTGATGCCAGAGGCCTAATGGGGAGCCCTGGCTTCTGCTGCAATCCTAAGCACACATTTCCCATGCACCCCACTACACAATCCCCCCAACCCACCAGGATGTAAAGAGTCCTGCATCTGACAGAATCTAGTACATTTCCAAGTTGCAAACAAATCAGTGAAGAGGTAGATACCCCTACAAGTCCTGGATGATGAAAACAGAAGTGCCAGATCTCAGTCCTGGACCAATTAGTACAATGTATAACTCTCTCCACCGGGTCCCTGCTTTTTAATAAACCTCTTTTATAGTAAGCATCACAATGTGTTCTAGTTAGGAGCGTGTACTACTTCTGCTTCCTTTGGTGTCCTGTTCGTCTTTTTGTGCAATGACTACCAGAGCGCACACAATGGAAATTCAATAAATGTCTGCTGATGAGTCAATGAATCCTAAGTTAGGCAGAATTTGTTATGCTGAAAAGTTCAAGTTAGGAAAAGTTACCTATAAATATGACAAATCTCAGAGGGTAAAGACTCATTTAAGAATGAATAGAATTAATAAGCGACTGAGCTTGGTTAAATATGATCCAAGTTCTAAACTGTTCACAGCGGCAGTCAGGGCAGGGAAGTGGAGGTGGCTGGGATGGCATATCTCATTTTCTACTTTGTACATTTCTAATTAGCTCAATTTTTTACATTGTAGAAAAACGTCTATGTTCAATCAGAAGGAAAAGAAGTGAAATATTTCCACTTCGGGGGAAGATCCTTTCAATAAGCCACTAAAGAAAACAAACAGGTCATTTGCTTTATCGATCACTGCGAGCGGCCAGTGAATACAGGCACAGCACAGTTCTACGACCCTCAAAGGGGGAAGCCCCCAGGTCACACTGGACACCCAGTGCCTGGGGAAGGGAGCGCAGGGGAGTATTTTTTGCCACGACAAGGGAGAGAGGGCCAAAAGCCTGGAGGAAAACAGAGGGGGACTGTGGCAGTGGCCGCCAGCCCCTTGGCTACCAGCCCCTCCATTCCATGACTTCAACCCTCATGGCCACAAGCCTCTGCGGAACCCAGGGAAAAGGCACCAACTTTCACCTGATCCAGTGACATGTGACAGAAAGTTTTTGCTCAGCATTCTTCTCACCTATCAGAAAGAGCTGTTTGAATTTAGAGTATGCGGTCTGGACGTCCTGCAGGGACAGGAAGCTGCTTGATAGGTCTTCGGTTTTAACAGTCTCATAGGGTGGCCTGTGGATGGTTCTGTAAATTCTAGGTATCAGAAGTGACAAGACATTAGAAAAGCAGATGTGAACTGGAACTAGCTCGTTTCTCCTGAGCACTTACTATGTGCAATCTCTGTGAAGAGCTCCCTCGGTCTCCTCCCACTTAATCCTCACCCACAGGCCTCCCAGAGGGCTGCTAGCCCTAGGCCATGGAAATAGAGGAGGGGGTAGTGGAACTTCCCAGCTCAAGATGTGCAGTATGTAACTGACAAAGCCGTGATCTGAACCAAGGCAGGTTAACTCCAAAGTCTACTCCTTTCTGTTTTTAATTTATCCACTTTGGACTTTTTTCACTTTTTATTTTGCAAAATCTCAAACACACAGAAAATTAAAAAAGAGTAGACAGTGACATATACCATGACTTAGATATGGAAACTGTTGACGTTACAGACACCAAGCCACTTACCCCTAAATACCCGAGCGTGCATCTGCAAAAGCAAAGCGGCCGACATCCTTCATGAGCATGTTATGCTGACTCCCTTCAGAGTAATTAAAACCCACCACTCTAGGCTGAATTCCCAAGCACTAAGCTATCAGCAGGTAAACAGGGAACATAATACTAAGCACTGGTCCCTGTTTCTCAGAAAACAAGAACTGAGCTCAACAATAACAAAATGTGCACAACCACTGACCCATCCAGGAAGCCCTTCTGGACCTGTAAAATGCCATCATCCTGTTCTCTGGGCAGCGCTGACATTTTCAAAAGGGCACATCCATTGTGGCAGGACCAACACCATATCTGCAGAGGGGATAGAGGTTTTCTAGATATAATATACACAATCCAACAGGAGACAGGTAAGCTTAGCACTTAAATTCATCCAGGGAAATGTATAACTTGAATAAGAAATGGCTGGATATATTCAACTTTGTTAAGTCAAAGAGCAGTTACTCACAATGAGAGAGACTGATTAGTCTTCGGAGGGAAAAAAAAAGATCAGACCAGATGTAGACAGTCACACTCAGACTTCTTTTTTTTGAGAGGGCATCTCTCATATTTATTGATCAAATGGTTGTTAACAACAATAAAATTCTGTATAGGGGACTCAATGCTCAATGCACAATCATTAATCCACCCCCAGCCTAATTCTCGTCAGTCTCCAATCTTCTGAAACATAACGAACAAGTTCTTACATGGTAAACAAATTCTTATATAGTGAATAAGTTCTTACATGGTGAACAGTACAAGGGCAGTCATCACAGAAACTTTCGGTTTTGATCACTCATTATGAACTATAAACAATCAGGTCAAATATGAATATTCGTTTGATTTTTATACTTGATTTATATGTGAATCCCACATTTCTCCCTTTATTAATACTATTATTATTTTTAATAAAATGCTGAAGTGGTAGGTAGATGCAAGATAAAGGTAGAAAACATAGTTTAGTGTTATAAGAGAGCAAATGTAGATAATCAGGTGTGTGCCTGTAGACTATGTGTTAATCCAAGCGAGACAAGGGCAATAAAACATCCATGGATGCAGAAGATTTCTCTCAAAACAGGGGGGGTGAGGTTCTAAGCCTCACCTCTGTTGATCCCCAATTTCTCACCTGATGGCCCCCCTGCAACTGTGCCTGTCTTAGGTTGTTTCTCCCTTGAGACACAACCAGTCATCTTCCGGGGCCACACAGGGAAATGTAAAGTTGGCAAGTGAGAGAGAAGCCATATTGTTTGAAAATCTTAGCTTTTTACTTCTTTGCAGATTTATGCCCTGTGGCTTCTATGCCCAGCATTTGTCTTAAGGTATCTTTACCACTTGGAGGAGTTATGATACTCGGTGAATTCGATATGCACACTCAGACTTCTTATGGTCTACCACACACCTCCCGCCTCGGCTTCAGTGCTGGGAGCCCAGATGACGACAGCAGGAGCAGCAGCGTCGCCAGCACAGGGCAGCAGCTATCGACAGAGTGTGGCTCATTCTCTCAGGCATTTCATGTGAATTAGTTCGTCTAATCACCATAGTCCCGCTTGGAGAAGAGTACGATCATCAACCCCATTAACATCAAGAAATGGAAGTCTGGAGTGACCGAGTCACCTTCTCAAGTTGCGCAGAGAGCTCCAGCGGTCTGCCCAAAGCCTGTGGTCCACCTGGTGGCAAAATGGGGGCAGCTCCCACCATTAGAAAGAATGGAAAGTTGTCCATTCAACATACATTGACACTAGACTCGCACATGCAAAGCACAGCATGCGCTTGTGACCGGATGTAAAGAAAGCCAAGATACCATATTTAACTTCAGGGAACTTAGCCTCTCAAAGGGGAAATAAATTTGTAAATATAATAGAAGGTAAAATGTGGTAACAGAAGAGAATTTCAAGAAACAACAAAAGGAAGACAAAGAAGAAAAAAACCATTCGAGTGAACATAAGGGACAGGCTTGGCTGTTTGGTAACTTTTTTGGCCACAGAGGGAATTTTTGGTGATTTGTTTACTCTGTTTTGCTAAAAGGAACTAAAAGATATTAGAACTGATCTTGGGCAAAGTAATTTGCCACAAGAGCCTGGAATGAAGACAGGGAACGGCTGGTTGGGGCAGGTGAGCACCACACCACTGTAGGTTTTGGGCCCCATAAAGGCCTGGCTCAGGGTTTGTAAGGGCCTAAAGCCCACCCCTGCCTTGCTGAGCAAGCCATTGGCCTTGGCTGCAGGCAAGCCTGGAGGAAGCTGATGCCTCTTATAACTGTGCTGACAGAGGGGGCACTGCTTTGCCATTCACCGGCTGTGTATAAACCACACACTGCTTATGCTAGCAGCAGCCTGGGACAAGAGATCAGAGATCAGCACACAGGTGACTGCACTCAGAGTCAGAGAGAGGAGCCAGTTTGGGGATTCAGGAGAAGATAATGGAATAAGCACTGGGTGTGTGCTAGGGGTCTAGTGCCAATGGGACATCACATGGAGATAATGCAGGTGGCACCGCAGTGGAGGGTTTTGAGCTTAGGAGAGGAAGGCACAACCGGAGCTCCAGCTATGGGAGCTGATGGCCAGCTGACGTGGAAGAGATGCTGAGCCCGTGGGAGTAAAGATGGGAACACAGCACTGCTTTAGGAAATGCCAAAGAGCAGTGATACCCCTTCTCAGGGCCAAGCCATACTCTGAATAAGATTCACAGTGAGGTGGAAGTGTCAGAACACTGAGACAGACCTAAGGGCCCTTTGCTGTCCTTACTCCCTTTTCCAGTGTCATGCTAAGCAACATGAAGAAGCCACCACACAGGTGCAGCCCTCTGCCAAAGGGGCGATATTTTCAAGGCCCTGCGGTCCTGTCCTCCAAGAAGGTGCAGCTCACTTGGAAAAAAGGGGAGACACTCTTAGCCATGACTGGTCGACAGGTTCTAAGAAACTGAGTGCTCTTCATCTTCATATCTCTTCTCGTGGGCAGAAGGGGTTGGCTCTGGGTGATATTCAACCATGACTCATTTTCTAGGTCGGACACAGCCACAACTGTCACCTCATCTGATGCACTACGGGGCAATTCTCTTGCCTTCTCTATTTGAAATGGTATGGGGAACAAGCAAAACTCTTGGTCAGAGAGAGACTTCTCACAAGAACCTAGCAAAAACCACACCTTCTCCCGTTGTTCTGACAGGCACTTTTCTGTCTGGGTTCTTAACGTAAGACGATAAACAAGAATCACTGCTGGTGAATTCCAGCTTTGTTTAAAAAGGCAGAGGGGAGATTCTTCATTATGTTATACATCTTAAGGCATCTCTCTTAGAGCTGAAGACAGAGCTTTTGAGGAACATCTACAGCTGCAGCTAGAAAGCACTGTAAGAAAGGAGGGACTACAGAGGACGCGGGGCCTGAACGTGCAGTGTCCAAAGCCAAGACAGGAATTTAGAAGGCAGAAAAAGGAGGATGTGAGCACAGTCAAACCTGCTGAGGTGGTAAGGAGAGGTGGGTCTGTGCAAGGCCCACTGACTTCTAGAGGGTCAAGCAGCAAAGTGGGGGCAACAGTCACGTTGCAAGAAGAAAGGAGTAGAGAGACAAGCAGAGAGATCAGTGTGGACTCACTATGCTTGGCAGTACAGGGAAGAGAACAGCACCAGGCTTACCTCTTAAGGGCGGGCTTCTTCAGGTAAGGAAAGACTTGAACATGGCTTCAAGGGCAGAACACACAAGAAGATACACATGGAAGGGAGAAGGCTGACAGAAGCAGATTCTGGACACAGCAAAGGCAGGTGAGATCAAGAGCCCAGGCAGAGGCTTAGACTCGGGATGAAGGAAACAGGAGCACAGAGAGAACAGGAGGTGGAGGAGGAGGCAGCCAAGGGCGGTCTTGTCTCCCACTGTCCAAGATCCTAAGAAGTAGGGGTAATGTCCCCTCTCATGCACTTAGACAATGAGAAAATGTTTACACCAACTCCAAGAAAGAATGACACAGGAACCGGAAGGAGCTAAACATAAACTGCTGAGCCAAACATGGGCCCAAATGAGGCAAGGCAACAGTTCTCATGCATCCCATTAAGTGCACTCTACTGTCTCAATAATCTACAGCAATGTTCATTAGTCCTACAGCAAAAAAACAGAAATAGGTAAGGTTAGAGAACAGCACAGGTCCAGGGGTTCAATGCTAGAACGGCAGCAAGGATCTGACTGAAATTATAAATGATACTGGTCTTCACTGAAGAGGAATAAGCAAAGGCAAGAAAGAACAGATGAGCTGAAAAGTCGGGGTGAAAAGCATGGAGATGTGGAGATGTTCTGGCACTGGACAGTGGTGATGGCTGCACAACACTGTGAATATACTCAGTGCCACCAACAGTAAAGTTAATGTTACGGGTGTTGAGAGTTCTGTATCCCCTAGATAAATGTGTAAATTCCATCTTGTGTAATAGTGTTCTGTTGTCCATTCACACAAACTCCACTAATAACTTTCAGGACATATAATTAAGGCCAACTTAAAGTTAAGAACACCTTCCTATTGTTCCTACCAAAGTTATCTGGCTGGCTCCCCACTTAGGTCTTTTCAGAACATTTTCTACTTCTCAGCCTCTAGGCCTGATTAGAACACAGTGTCAAAATTTCATACACTGCCAGATGGAGAAGCAGCCTATTTCCATATGCAGACAATTCACCCTTGTTACTTCTCACAGAGCATACTCTCTTTTCCTAGACCTAAGAAGGGCTGAGAAATGAAGACCTTCATTTTCATTCTTCTAAAATAGCGATTCTCCCACTCTAAAACTACTAGATCTAATATCTGAATTTAGCAAAGTTGCAGGATACAAAATTAATGAACAGACATCTGTTGCATTCGTATACACTAATGACGAACTAGCAGAAAGAGAAATCAGGAAAACAATTCCATTCACAATTGCATCAAAAAGAATAAAATACCTAGGAATAAACCTAACCAAGGAAGTAAAAGACCTATACTGTGAAAACTACAAGACACTCATGAGAGAAATTAAAGAAGACACCAATAAATGGAAACACATCCCATGCTCATGGATAGGAAGAATTAATATTGTCAAAATGGCCATCCGGCTTAAAGCAATCTACAGATTCATTGCAATCCCTATCAAAATACCAAAAGCATTCTTCAATGAACTAGAGCAAATCATTCTAAAATTCATATGGAACCACAAAAGACCTCGAATAGTTAAAGCAATCCTGAGAAGGAAGAATAAAGGTGGGGGGATTACACTCCCTGACTTTAAGCTCTTCTACAAAGTCACAGTAATCAAGACAATTCAGTAGAGGCACAAGAACACACCCACAGACCAATGGAACAGAGTAGAGAGGCCCAAACATAAACCCAAACATATATGGTCAATTAATATACAATAAAGGAGCCATGGATATACAATGGGGAAATGACAGCCTCTTCGACAACTGGTGTTGGCAAAACTAGACAGCTACATGTAAGAGAATGAAACTGGATTATTGTCTATCCCCATACACAGAAGTAAACTCCAAATGGATCAAAGACCTGAATGTAAGTCATGAAACCATAAAACTCTTAGAAGACAACATAGGCAAAACTTTCCTGAATATAAACATGAGCAACTTCTTCCTGAACCCATCTCCTTGAGCAAGGGAAACAAAAGAAAAAATGAACACAGGGGACTACATCAAACTAAAAAACTTCTGTACAGCAAAGGACACCATCAACAGAACAGAAAGGCATCCTACAGTATGGGAGAATATATTTGTAAATGACATATCCAATAAGGCGTTAACATCCAAAATATATAAAGAACTTACATGCCTCAACAACCAAATGGGCAAATAACCTGATTAAAAAATGGACAGAGGATATGAAGAGACAATTCTCCAAAGAAGAAATTCAGATGGTCAACAGGCATATGAAAAGATGCTCTACATCACTAATCATCAGGCAAATGCAAAAAAAAACCACCATGAGATATCACTTCACACCAGTTAAGATGGCCAGTGTTGAAAAGACTAAGAACAACAAATGCTGGCGAGGATGCAGAGAAAGGAGAACCCTCCTACACTTCTGGTGGGAATGTAAGCTAGTTCAACCATTGTGGAAAGCAATACAAAAAACTAAAATTAGAAATACCATTTGACCTGGGAATTCCACTCCTAGGAATTTACCAAAGAATATAACTTCTCAGATTCAAAAAGACATATGCACCCCTTTGTTTACTACAGCACTATTTACAATAGCCAAGATATGGAAGCAACTTCAGTGTTCATCAGTAGATGAATGGATAAAGAAGATGTGGTAAATATACCCAATGGAATACTATTCAGCCATAAGAAAGAAACAAATCCTACCATTTGCAACAACATGGATGAAGCTGGAGGATATTATGCACAATGAAATAAGCCAGGCGGAGAAAGACAGGTACCAAATGATTTCCCTCATTTGTGGAGTATAACAGCAAAGCAAAACTGAAGGAACAAAACAGCAACAGCCTCACAGACTCCAAGAAGAGACTAGTGGTCACCAAAGGGGAGGGGTGGGAGAGAGCAGGTGGGGAGGGAGGGAGAAGGGGATTGAGGAATATTATGATTAGTACACATGGTGTGGGGGGTCACAGGGAAAACAGTGTAGCCCAGAGAAGGCAAATAGTGACTCTGTGGCATCTTACTACACTGATGGGTAGTGACTGCAATGGGGTATGGGGGGAACATGATAATATGGGTGAATGTAGTAACCACATTGTTTTTTCATGTGAAACCTTCATATGAGTGTATATCAATAATACCTTAATAAAAAATAAAGAAAGAAGTAAAATAGCGATTCTCAAAATGAAGTCTACAGATTAAGGAGGGGGGTTCCCAGAACCCTTTCAGGTGGTCTTAGAATAATACTAAGGTATCATTGGTCCTTTTCACTGTGTTGATGTTTACTCTGGCAGCAACAAAGCCCTGGTGGGTAAAACTGCTGGTGTCTTTGCACCAATCAAGGCACGGCTGCCAAACAGCACTGCTGCCATGATATTTATTCCTCACTGCCACACACTTGCAGAACGAGAAAATTCTGTTTCACACAAAGAAATGTCCTTAATGAAGGACTAAAAATGATTAACTGTGTTAATCTTAACCATTACAGACTAATATTGGTATTTTTTATATTCTTGTAATGGAATAGCAAGTACTGAAGTACAATGTTTGTTTAGAGGAAAAGCACTTATGTGACACTTCAGAGCTAAAGTACCTACAGTCTTCATGGAATTGAAAGAAGAGCGATAGACAAACTATTGGGTGTTCAGACTTTGGCATCTGGCAGACAGACATTCATTCTTGAAAAAAGAAAAAAACTGAATGAAGTGACCCTATCACTTCAAGGAAAACTGACAAATTGTTCCCAATGATAAAAGTTGAACTTTTAAGCAAAAATTAGAATTCTGGAAAATTAGTTTCTCTCTCTAGCTGGACAGTTTTCCAATATACTATGACTTTTCCAATGAGACAAGGGTGATGTTAATGAATGTGGTTTTTATATTATATGCAGAAATGTCAAAATTTAGACTATCTGTATAACCTAGTAAACCAACAGTTTCCAGATGACCACCTTGTTATAAAATCATGCAAGTTTTAAGACCCACTCAAAGTAGAAGACAGACCAAAGCATTTTAATTGTGCAGAGAATGAAAAAATACACTGATAAGGTTTTTAGATTCCTTGTTGCAATTAACCTTTCTAAAACCACCACTTATTGTTTGGCGTACCATCAAAGAACAATACTCTCAATTATCTGAGAAGACTACTAAATATTCCTCCCTTTGCCAAATACATATATGTGTGAGGCTGGATTTTCATGTACTTCAACCAAACCCCAACATACCACAACAGACTGAATCAAAGAGGTAGATACAAGAATCCAGCTATTGGCTTTGGTACTAAAGAGTTTGTCCCCAGTCCAAGAGTGATCCAGCTATAGATATAAGTCCAGCTATAGATACAGCTATAGTCCAACAGAATCCAGCTATAGATACAAGAATCTATTTTTTAAAATATGAAAGAATACTACCCTTTTTTTTTTGTATAATACAGTTATTTTTCATGGAAATGTTACTTACATTAACATGCGATGAGTTTATTACTAAAATAAACATGAAAATAAACATTTCTGGGTATGTGAATCTCCTGCCTAAACATCTTGCTTCCCGTTCAGCAGTGTCCTTTTTGGTGAACCAGCCATGCGCACAGCACAGCATTTATTTCTAATTCTCCTTCTTCACTCAATTTCCTGCAGGCTTGGCAACTCCTAACCACTAATTAGAATCCGGAGTAAGTGCCAGAATCTTGGTTTCTTTGATCAGTAACCCATTAACTAGGGCTCCCATCCCAGTCTATTCTGTGAAAACTAAGTAAGCTCTCCACATTGTCTCTGGGAGAAAACATGGCCACGCCCATTCAAAATTAATAGTAGGCCCCCCAAAGAATCTTAAACTCTACTGTTCTTTGAGTGGTGGGCTCAGCTTCAAAGTGATTTAAGTGTTAAATCAGGCTGGCTTTCAACACCAGATCTGTAATCTTCTGACAGCTTTTTAAAGAAGTCTCTGCTAAAAACTCCAGTGCATCTGTGAAAACCTCAGAAATCTGTCCCAGAGAGCCTCATGTCTAAGAGGCAACTCTAGTGAGTCCCTGAGATATTTCTGGATCACTCTAGGACTGGGGACAAACTCTTTAGTACCAAAGCCAAGGGCTTTAAATAATTTGCCAGGATGGGCTAATGAGCAACCCATGGCTGTTGGGCTCTCCAGATGCACTTACTGGTATGCCATGGCCCTGGAAGCGAGGCACGTCCTCCTCAGGCAGAGGGGTGGGGATAACAAAGTACGCAGGCAACCTAGAAGAAAAAGATGTCATCAGTGTTAGTACCAGAGTTAATTCACCAAATATGAGAGCTCAATGTCAATGAACAGAGAAGCTGAGCACAGTATGACAAGGTCTCTATTTCCGTGTTAAGAAGAACCAGGGCAGATGAACTGTCTCTGGCCAAATCAGTTGGAAATCTGAGGTCAAATCCTAGCACTCTGCCTCCAATTCTGTGTGTAACCCCAGGTAAGCTACCCACCTCTCTGGGTTTGCTTCATCATCCATAAAATGAGGGATTGGAATACATGATACCTAAAGGTACATGAATTCCAGAACTAGGAATGATCTTTCTCATCGTAGAGTGACAATATAAGCACCTGTGTTGCTTTCACTCAGACTAAAATGAAAACCAGTCACTATAATGACTGCTATGCAGACATCTGACAAAGTGCTCTGATAAACATCTAAATGCTTACTGTATGCTAGACTCTGTTCTCATTACTTAACACAAATTATTAATTTGATCCTCCCAAGAACCCTGTGAAGTATGTACTAGTATTATTTCCATTCTAGAGATAAAGAAACTGAGATAAGCACTACTGAGGCCCTTTCCCAGGCTGCACAACTAGTATTAGTGGAGCTGAGACTTGAACCCAAGCAGTATATCCTCAGTCTCTCCATGAGACAATTCAGGTTCTAAAAATTAAAACCTGGTAAGTAGTAGGATGTGGGAAAGTTAGGTTTTCAGAGATGCAGGGATGAGAGGCATATGAGGACATCTTCCTCTAGTTAGCAGATGTAGGTTTCTCTGAATAAGAACCTGCCTAAGTTCTGTCACTGTGGAGTTGTAAACCTCTTTCACTCAGAGAGCTGTCAATAAAGCCTCTCAGGAAATAAGAAGGTGACTGTGGTGTAAGACTTACAATGGAAAATATCAGATGGTATTTGTATGCAAGCTGCATGTTCAAAGTAAATCTTTCAAGTATTAGGTCACGGGAAAGATTGATTTTCTGAGTTGAAGAGATCAGAATTTGAATGTGACAAGTGATTAGATCTACTCAATTGACGGGGATGGAGCACCACTTTAAACATCATCATGAGCATGTGCTTCTCAAAATCCAACCTAGAAAACTATTGGACAAATAGCCTAGATTCTTCAAAGAAATTCCAAGAAAAAATTGATGGTGTGAGAATCTATAGATTAAGAGACTTGAGAAACTTACCAATCAATTCCAATATATCAGTCTCACTGAATCTTGATTAATGATAAACAGGTAAAAAGATGAAAGATAAACCTAAAATTTTTTGAAACAGTGGGGAAAATCTGAACATCGACTGGGTAGTGAATGATACTGAAGAGTTAACATTAAATGTGAAAGGTATGACAATGGTTTTATGGATATGTTTATAAAAAGAGCCCTTAATTCTTAGGGATGTATACTGAAATATTTATGAATACAATGTGTTGACCTCTGGGATTTATTTCAAAATATTCCAGGGAAAGCATACGGAAAACAGGATTAGCCATAAATTAGTAGTTGTTGAAGCTGGGTGATAGATAAAAGAGAATTCATCATATTCTTTTCTTTTGCACTGCTTGAAATTTTCCATAAAAAACCCCTTAAAGGTAACTAAAGAGAAAGAAAGCTCTCATAATATTGTCATATAAAACCAAGTTTGAGAACCACTGGTCAAGGATAAGATGCCTCAGACCATCAAAACTGTCAAGAATTATTTGGCTTTTGAGATTTTGAAGTGTTTGTAGTATTTTCTTATGCCTGTTTGAGTGGATGGGCAGTAAGGCATCCCTTCTCACTTCAAGAGGTACCGCTCTTCACTGAAGTAAAAAACCTCTTCACAGATCAGTGGCTTTCAAACTCATACTTCCCAGTATGGAAAGATTACAAAAACCCCAAAGTCCAGGCTCCACCCCAGAACTATTGACAAAAAAAAATCAGAAACATAAAAGTGTCCAGGTGTGCTTCTCAAGATGCTGCTACTCAAAGGACACAGCACCAGGACCTGGACACTTACGAGAAGAGCAGACTCAAGCCTGACCCCAGATCTCATCAGTCAGAATCTGCCCTCCAACAAACTCCCCAGGTGATTTAGCTGCACATTAACTGTAAGAAGCAACACTCTAGACGGCAACTTACAAATAGACCAGTTTCTCAACCTTTATAGGAGAGTCACCTGTGGAGTTTATTTAAACCGATTCTCTGCTTCTTACCCAGAGGCTCATTCTACAAAGCTGGAGTGGGGCCACACTATTTTAAAACATTTGCATTTCTTCCCCTACCAGTGAGGCTGAATAGTTTACAATGTTGGTTAACCAGTTAACATTCTCTTACAGCCTTTCACTGAAGGAGGGAAGATGTCAGAACCAAGGGTTGTAGCATAATGACAATGCTGCTGCTCAAGAAAGGAGGCTGCACAGAGGTGGCTTGCTCTTCACCAGTGAGGGGAGTGTACAATGTCCTCTCTCATCTCCTGTGAACTCAAGGTGGTTCTATATGGTCCCTCCTGTGAGACTCCCCATGTCTACAAACAACTAACCCCTTCCTCCTTAGAGAGCAATCATTTTAGTCATCAGCATGAGTTTCAAATACAAAGTAAACAGCCTCTCCAATTACAGGATGATCTGGTAATTGGGAAGTTGTATGGTCTACCCAGGCACAGCCTCAGTCCTGGTACCTGAGTGACATCACCACAGCAGCAATGTCTTCGTGTGGAGAGTCAATTCACACACTCCACTGTTACGCACAACCCTACAGGGTTATGGGCCTCTTGATACCTTCACAGGGAAGTGAGAGGAGTGAAAGGCTTTTCAGAAGGAATAGACTGTGGTACTGGAAGAGCCAGCTCTGACCTCAGGGGAAGATGAAGTAGACACTCAGTTTGCTAGTCTCACCCAAATTAATTGAAGTCCCCTTAATGATAGGACTTTCATTAATTTATTCATTCTGTCTCCTATTTACTGAGTACCTCTTAAAACCAGGCACTGTACTTGGTACTGAGGCTGTAATGATGAGCAAAATAGTGTCCTTGATTCCCCAGGCTGAAGAAACAAACATGAATCAAATGGTGACACCTACATCTCAGGATAAAAATAAAGTCAGGAAGTACTCTGAAGAGGCGCCCAGTGCAATGAAAGTTTTCTCGAGGAGACCTGACCTAGTCTTGGGAAGGCTCCCCAAGAAAGTGACACCTGAGTGGAGATCTGAGCAATGACACAGAGGCAACTACACTTGTGCAGCTAGAAACAAAAGGAACACCACACAGGCAAGGCTTCTGGTGGGGGTCAGCATGGCTGGGATGGGTGAACACAGTGTTGGAGAGACAGGGCTCAGAGAGACAGGACAGCATACAGGCAAGGCCTCTGGTGGGGGTCAGCATGGCTGGGGGGTGTACACAATGTTGGAGTCAGAGCTCAGTAAGCTTTACTCTATATATCAAGAAGAGCAGGGAGTCACTAAAGCAGCGGGCAGACGATCAGAAACTTCCTGGAGACATGAACTCAGCCTGCTGCATAGGGAAGGGATGCTGAGGAGACCATGTGGTGGCTACCAAAGTACTCCATGTGAGAACTGACCCCAGCTTTCCCTGCATTGTCCCCAGCAAAGGGCAGAGGAGTTCAAGGGCTGTGTGTTTGCACTGAGTGCTCTGAGCACCAAAATCTTGCTAAAGCTCCACTCTCCCCACTGATTATGAATGAAAAGCTTCCCCACCTTCTCTACCAGGTGTATTTTTGATGTGCTAAGACCTGTGTAAATACCTATGAATGTAACCATATGTGGCATAATTTCTTTAAAAACAATTCTGGGAACAGGGATGTCATCTATCAGCATCAACATCACATGACAATTATCACCTCCTAGGGGAAGGGGTTTCCAACCTCTCTGAGCAAGAACTAGCTTAGCTTTTCCTCTCCAAGCTCTGTGACTGGGTGAGAATGGGGAGGGTGACATGACTCTTGCTTTGCAGGCCCCTCCCCACTGTCACCACAGTTCATGCTGTGACAGGAGTGCTAACCTTATAAATGTCTGAGATCAAAATCAAAACAAATCAGATGAAGAGGCCCACAAGAACCATGAATACCAAATGCGCTACAAAAATACAAATTTATGAAACTACCAGGAGGGTGTTGGGGAGTATGCTCCAAAATCATAGGATTTGAGTTTCTAAATGAGGATTATGCAGAGTCATCCTTTAAAAATGGAGGTCAGATCACATCACATCACGCCTCTGCTCAAAGTCCTCGCAAACCTATAAATTGTTTTGAGAGCTTCCTGGCCCAGCACTGTGCTACCACTGCTTCACCTGGACCTCCCCTCACCCAACTAGGCCCTTGTTAGCTCCTCTCCACCTAGGCTCCTTGCTGCTCCTCACACAAGCAGGTAAAATCCCACCTATGGGTGTTTGCCCTCGCTGTCCCCTCCACCTACCAACCCTTCCCACACCTCCAGCACTCGCTAACCCCTTGCCTGATATATTTTTCTCCAACATTTTCATTCCCTTTTAACACACTATAATCATTCATTTGTCTTATCATCATTTCCCACTCACTGGAATGAAAGTTCCAGGAGGGAAGGGGCTTTTAGACTGTTTACTGCTGTATTCCCAGTAGCCAAGACATTGCCTGGCATATAGTAACCACTTAAAAATTTTTTTGCTAAATGAATAAATGAAGTGCTTGATAAAAGGAAAGCAAATACACAACACAAATTCAGAAATGCCTCAGAAATTCAGTTTTACACTGAGATTACAGATACAATAATGGGAAAAAAAGACAAATTCACTTCTGAATGTTTTAAGGGACACTAAGGCTTTCTTTAAAAAGCATAGTATCGATGTGGAGAAACTAGAATCCATACACTGGGAATGTAAAATGGTGCAGTCTCTGTGGAAAACAATCTGGCAGTTCCTCAAAAACTAAATGCAGAATTATTATATGACCCAGCAGTATCACTCCTAGGTATATACCCAAGAGAACTAGAAAAATATGCACACACAAAACCTTTTACACAAATGTTCATAACAGCCAAAAGGTGAAAACATACTAAATGTCCATCAACTAATAAATGCATAAATAAAATTGTGTGTGTGTGTGTGTGTGTATCTCCATACCATGGAATATTATTCAGCAATAAAAAAAGAATGAAATGCTGATACATGCCACAATGTGGATGAACCTTGAAAACATTATGCTCAGTGAAAGAAGGCAGGCATACAGACTACATATTACATGATTCCATTTACATGAAATGCCCAGAATAGGCAAATCTAGAGAGACGGAAAGTAGATTAGACACTGCCTAGGGCTAGAGGTTGGGGGTGCATGGGCAGTGACTCAAGAGGTCTGCAGTTTCTTTCTAGTGCAATGACAGTGATGATGGTTGTCCAACCCCATGAATATTTTTAAAAACACCATTTACTTCGAATGGGTGAAGTGTATGGCATGTAAATTAAACCTCAGTAAAGCTGTTAAAAAAAAGCACAGCACTGACAGCAGCTCACCTTTCACAGACTTTATAGCCTTCATTGACACTCACTGCTTTGTACTTCATGCTGCCTTTGGTCCGCTCCAGTTCCCAGCACCAGTCCTTAAGTGTGTCAAACATGACGGTGTGGTTTTTGGAATCAGTGGCTAACAAAACAAATTTAAAAGAAAATAAAATCTCGTTATGGAACACTGCTATTTTAATGATGCGAATGTAGATCCTTAGGCCCCAATTTCCTCCACTCACGCCCATTTTTATCCAGGCAGAAGGAATTCACTCTTAATCCCAATCCTGTTCCCTTTTTTGTCATTAATTCAAATTATGACAGAGGATCTGTCTTTTTATACTGGAGGGAAGGAGTTGTTCTTGTTCCATTCCTTGCAAAAGTAATTTTTAGCTCCTTTTTCAGTCATCTGACCATGAGATAATTTATATAGCATAAAAAGATCCTGTGAGCACTAAAAGACAGGCCTGGCACAAACACTAAAAAAATAAAATATTTTTAGCGCTACCAATGCAAAAGAATGCAAACTCATTTGAATAGCATGTCAGATTCCTGAATGTAAATTCTTCAATTTGAAGACACATTGCCAACAAAATGATTTTCCAGTGTGACACCTGGTTACTGACAGCCATAAACAAATCAGATAGCCACAGCAAGGGGCAAGGCCTGCACTATGGTGACAGTGACTTTTGCTCCTACCCTGCCCTGCTACTCTCTGCGAGGAGGAAATGCCCAGGGGCACTACCTCTTAGCTCAGCACATGTGCCCGTGGTCCTCTCCCAAGCTGGCACTGCTTGCTGAAAGTGACATGCACCAGAACAGTCTCAGGTATTTATACAAAGCAGTTCAAGCCTTTGCATAGACAAAACAAGAAAAAACAATCCTCTGGGGAAAAACAGTATTTGATAAGTGCCTTTTAATAAAAGCAGACCAGAGTACAAAAGATAAAAGTAAGAATAATGATAAAAACAGTAGTTAAGCTTATATAGCACTTAATATGTTCCAGGCACTGGTCGAACATATTACATTTTATTAACTCAATCCTTCCACCTCTATAGCAAAGGTGATATTATATCCTCCATTTTATAGCTGTGGCACAGAAAGATCAAGAATCTTGCCCAAGGTTACAGTCAAGCAATGGCAGAACCAGAATTCAAACCTAGGCAGCTGTGAAAGAAATTTTCATAGTGATAAATGCAAAAAAAATTTCTCCATGGACATAAATATAGACTCCATGGACTCCAATTCAAACAAAGCAGATTATTTCCTTAGCAATAGCTAGGTCCTCCCCTAAAATGCCATCTCATAAGCATTCAGAACCTTTTAGCCAAAGCACATTTGTGGATACTTAAGCCAGGGAATAATTAAAGATGCTTAGATTGCAAAGCACCCACCTCTACCAACCCCTACTCATCGAAAAAGCTAGGTGGTCAGTCAGCACCTGTCAGTTATAACCTTACTTCTCAAAATAATGGGGGTTGGAAAGAGGAAAAGAGAAAGATGGAATTAAAATAGAATAAAAGATGCTACATATCCTGGGCCTTCTGGCACAAAAGCCACCATGAGGTGCCTGGAAGCTGCCAGAACTGGTAAGGATTTTGGCACAGAGATCAAGTGATGCTGGGCAAGCCAAGGACTCTACACTGAATCCAGATGAAGAATCAGGCTATAAGGAAGAGGCAGGATTCCTAAAGGAAGAGTATGATTTTTTAAATGTTAACCCAATAATGCTCATATAAGATATGGTAATCAACAAGGAAGTCATATTTTGTATATCTCCTACTGCACAAGCTGCTGTAAGCCAGTTAATCAGCACTTACACATATAGCTACAGTGACAAGGTCCTTCACACAGATGAATTTACTGAATTAAGGAACAAATTTTATGTTCAGCCTAACAGTGGTGCTCAGTATATTTTGTCAGTGTAACTCTCGGAACATAACCTGTCCCAAATAACATGCAGTTACATTCTCTACTAACTCTCATTTAATGCCTGCAGCCTACATGCTGTGCATTTAACAATTTATAATCTTCACAACACTTCAAGGGAGGCATTAACACCACTGTTTTCAAAGTAAGGAAACAGAGGTCCCCAGAGTTAATTGTCAGCCCCAGGATCCCACAGCTACTAAGCCGCTGGGTAAGGATTTGAACTCAGATAGGACAGACCCTGAAATTCATACCCTTTCCATTAAATCACCATACTTCCCAAAAGGAATCCTGCTCTCTCAGGTGTCTACATCTCTGCATGGGCCATCTCTCCACCCAGAATACTCCTCTGTGCCTCCCAGACCCTCCCACATCCTCTGCTATCAGCTCTGGTACAGCGTTTGCCCTCTGACAGTCCTCCCTCTATGTGCTCAGGCACTTCCTCCCTCCTGCCCCCACAGCCCCTTCCACCACACGACACATCATTCAGTCGCCTCTGTTTGACCTGATGCTCTTAAAGGACAGACATTTACTCCTGTTCACTTCTATCCCCACAGTGCCTGATCCACACCAAGTGTCCAGTAAATGTTTACCAAATGAGCAGTTAGTGATAAAGTGACTCTGCATTTCAGAAAGCCTCATACATGCCATTAAACCAACATGCCACTTCCCTGATGAAAAGCACACAGGACACAGGATCACAAAACAACATCATGCTAAGTACTTAATGGGCAGAGCAACTGAACAGCCAAGGGGAGAAAGCTAGAGAAGGAAGACAGCCATCTGTGGGAACACTGTACAATGCCAGGCATTATTACTAGTAATTCAGATGACCAAAGTTTCTTAGTTAAAAAATTGCCCTTGCTAACTAAATAAAAAACGTTTGGTATCTTAAGTTTTCTAACCAAACTAGTTTTCTGATGTGCTCTCTTATGTACAACCATTCCATTTTCCCCAAATATGGGATATAAAGCATGTTCTGTTTGTTCAAAACCTTTCTAGGATGAAAGACATTCTCTAGAGTCTCGTAAAATGAAATCAAGTATATTAACGTGGAAAAAGAACCCAGGGACAAACAGGGTTATATTTACACTTGCCTCAATTTTGTTTCTATGGAGTCTCACTGATTTTATCTTTCCTAATAAAAAAATCAAACTGATAATCCCTCACAAAAAGCAAACAAACCTATAAGTTAAAGCAACAAGTATCACAGGGGGGAAAAAAAACTTATTCTTTAAGAGATTGGAAAATCACCCAAGCAAGAGGTAACCAATTGCTAGAAAAGAGGGGAAAAAAACCCATGGATGGGTTTTCTCCCATTTGTTCCAGGTAGGATTTGAAAGGGCCTGCCTGGCCATAAATGAAAATCCAGAAGACGCTTACCTGTACTGTTTTGCACAGAAGTTGCATAGGAAAATAGAAACAACCGTTTAAGCAGTTTCGGAGCCTGGGTATGATGAATTATGCCACTGACGATCTAGGGAAGAACCAAGCAGTGGATACAGTCACACTTTTGGAGATAAACACCGAGTTGTCTAGGTTTTCATTTAGGCTAACAGGCTTCTGTGGTCAGCATGCTAACTCATTTATGTCTGTATCTATGACCTTATCTCTTGGAATAATGCCAAATAAACAGAATGCTAACCATATTGGCACGTTTTCTAAGAGCTTTGTATTTCTAGGGAAATTTTTAAAACACAGTCTAATTTCTCAGAAATAAAATCCAAAAAAAAATGTAAGTGCCATATTCAGATACTCTAAAAATCTGACATCTCAAGACATTCAGCTGATATCAGATAATTAGCAAAATGCTTAGGTATTCTGAGCCACTTGTGGCCTTTAGAACCTTCTAGAAGATCAGAAAAAGCAATCAACCCACTGTGCTTTCTGTTTCAAGTTCCAAACAAAAGTATTTTGGGTCAGATGACTACAATCGTCATTCAAAATGAAGTTTCTGGCTTCCCAGGAAATTTTCCATATCTACACCATTCTTCCTCCTCAGAATAGATACTGGATTCATGTTTATTATCCTAACTGAGCTACCACACTCCCTGAAAGAAAATTAAGGAGTTCTATTTAAGTGTGCATAACTCACTGCAGCCAGAGACAAGAGATGACCTGGCTTCTCTCTAGGTTTTCCCTGATGTATTTACATGACAGTGGCAAGTTTGAGACCTTCAATATCTCAATAAGAAAACTCTTGGACGTCACAGTGACCACTGCAACCAGTTCACCCCATTACACATCTCAACTTCTGTGCCAACAAGACTGTTGCCTTAGTCTCCCAAAATCCAGGCCTCATTGGTAACTCGGATTTGCCCATTTGACCTATTAACTCCTCTCTCTTTCCACACACTTCCACTACTTCCCAGATATAAGCTCACTCATTCCAGGCATTGGGGCAACTGCTGCTACCTTCTGGAAGCCATCAGAGGCAGGAGGAGGACTTTTGGCCTGCTTCATCCTTCCCTTTCCCCAACTGCCTCCTGACGCTGAATTCACACCTCCCACCCTTCAGAGGCTCCAGGAATAAACACATTATGATTTGAAGGCCTAAAGGTAGCATGTGCCATGATAATATACAGGCACACTTTTACCAAATTATTTCTCAATTCAAATCAAAGCATATGGAATTAAAACCACTTTCAATTTCACAGAATGAAAGGCTCCCCTCAACCTTTGCGCAATACAAGTAAAAAATAGTGGGGGAAAACCTGATGGGAAATAAAACCTAAAAACACATGCAACTAGTTACCCTTTTGACTTCCTCTTCTTTTGTGTACCTCAGACAGAAGTGGAATACTCGGAGGTCTTTGCAGTGGATGATGAGTTTCTCAGGGTATTTCTTCAGTTGTCCAAAAAGAGGTTTTTTTTTCTCATCAAACACTACATGTCAACAATGAAATCAGGAAGGAACATCAGGGTATAAGGCAACAAGTTAATGCTAAAGAAACAAAGTAGACTATTAATACCTCTCAAAAGTGAGAGAAACGGTGCTACCTTCTAAGTAAATGTCAGCAGGGGCCCAGGCCCACCCTGCAGGGTCCTGACTCTGAGTTAGGGTTCTTCATTTCTCTGGAGTAAGCACAAGACCAAAATGGACTGGCTGTTGCTGGCAAAGTTGAGATTACAAAAGACGGAAGGGAGATCACTAGTGACATGCTTTCAGGGCAGTCAACTCCAGGGTTTTGGCTAGGGGCCCCTCCTGACACCTCTCTCTCTGTTCCAGAGTTTGGGCCATGTAGCACCTACAGGTGTTTGGATCATCAAACATGGCTAATTGAATGACTTCTGGAAAAGCCCTGGTGACAAAAAGAGAAATGGAGCAGAAAGACGCTGGACCCTTTGTCAGCAGAAGACACCTAAGTGCCGTGGAACAGACCTTCAGATTAACCTTTAAAGTAAAACCTACCCAGCTGACACTGATGGCCAAAACAGGATCAACAGCCCACATATGATGATATTGCCGAGTATCAGAAAGACAGGTTCAAAGTTTAAGCTCCTCCACCAATTAAGTGACCCCCAACAAGCCACTTCACATCTCAATTTTATCACCCATAAAACTGATTAAAACAAGATAAAAATGTGAAGGAATTTTACTGAACTGTCAAGGACCACAAAAATATCATTATCAGCTATACTTTATTTTTTGTAAATGAATATTCACAGCAGCTTTATTCATAATAGCCAAAATCTAGATCAGCTCAAATGTCCTTCATCAAGTAAGTGGTTAAAGAGCTATGATACATACAAATCATGGAATAGTAGTTAGTAATAAAAATTAACAAGTTGTTGAATCACACAACAACTTGGCTGACTCTCCAAGGAATTATGCTGAGTGAAAAAAACCAACCTCAAAAGGTTACACACTATATGATTCCATTTATGTAACATTTTTTGAGATAAAAAAGTTTTAGAAATGGAGAACACATTAATGGTTGCCAGAGGTTAGGGACAGGGGTGAGAAAGGATGGAGATGAGCATGGTTATGAGATGGCAACCCAAGTCACCGAACTGTTCTGTGTCTTCACTGTGGTGGACATGTGAACACAGACAAAACTACAGACCAAAAAACACACTCACACATACAGGTACAAGTCAAACTCTGGCAATCTGAGTGGATCAGTGGATTTTATCAGTGCCAATATCCTGGTATCAGTTATATTTTCAAAAGCTGGCAATACCCCAGGGGAAAACAGATACTCACCTCCGTAAATCTGATCAACACAGTGGAGTGTAATGTCATTTTCTCCTATAACCTTATTCTTAAATTGGGTTTCCTAAAAAATTCAAAAGGGAACAATTGTGATTCCTTTCTATGCACTGTCAGACATTTATAGGCAGAACAAATCACCATTCTCCACTTGCATGTTAAGAAAAACAGGGAGAGGGTGGGGCAAATGGGTAAAGGTGGTCAAAAGATACAACTTCTGGTTACAATATAATTCAGTCAGGAGGGTGTAACATACAGCATGGTGACTATAATGATACTGTATTGTACATTTGAAAATTGCTAAAAGTAGATCTTAAAAGTTCTCATCACAGGAAAAAAAATTTGTAACTATGTGAGGTGATGGATGTTAACTTACTGTGGTAATCATTATGCAATATATGCATATATCAAATCCTTATGTTCTACACCTTAAACTATTATAATGTTGTATGTTAGTTATATCTCAATAAAACTGGGCAAAAAATAAATAGAAGAGTGTATACCCTAAAAAAATAAGCAAACAGGGAAATGCAGCCACAATCTAGGAAAAGGACCATGAAGTGACGGAACATGCAAGAGAAGCTGGTGAGCATTTGCTTTTCAAACCCAGGCAGAACCTGCTGTTCCTGGGCTGCTCCCAGGCATAGCTGCCATGCCATCCATGATCTCTCTGGGGGGTGCTGGAGAGTGGTGTGCAGGTTAGGATTGCTCCAAATGTAAATAGGTGAGTGACAGAGCTCCATGAAGCCAGCTTTGGGAAGAAAATACTTAGAGATTCATGTTTCTGTGAATGCTGTCTTGGTACAGGACAGGGAACCAAGCTTCCGTAGCCGACGACAGCACAGCAGACTACCCGCTGGGACAGCAATGGTGCTAAGAAGCCAGGGTGGCCAGTTGTGTTACTCCACACTCTGCTGCTCATTGTTCATAAGCAGGGACAAGTCTTACAAGACTTGTGTGCAGAGGACACATAAAGTAAACCCAAAAGCAAGTGCTGCATTCAGCATCTGTTTCCTAACTGAAGGCAGTCCCTGAATTTGAAGAGGAGTTTAGTACAGGAGAAAACCTGGGGAACTAGTGTATCTGGGTAGATGTGATTCCAGTGAGTGCTAGACACGCTGTACTGATATACAGGAGACAAAAAGTCGACAGCCTAAAAAGTATCAGCCTGTAAAGCCAAACACAAGCCAGCATGACATGAGGCACTGGTGGGAAATTGTAGCATGGTCCCATCACTGAAAGGAGATCCTGAAGAACAGAGAGCAGACTAGTGGTGAGATGGGCTTCTGTCCTTTGTCTTTAACGTGTGTTGGGGTAGAGTAATTGAGAAGCTGGGAAAAAAAGGCAGTGGGGCCCAAACATGGGCAAAAAATAAATAGAAGAGTGTATACCCTAAAAAAATAAGCAAACAGGGAAATGCAGCCACAATCTAGGAAAAGGACCATGAAGTGACGGAACATGCAAGAGAAGCTGGTGAGCATTTGCTTTTCAAACCCAGGCAGAACCTGCTGTTCCTGGGCTGCTCCCAGGCATAGCTGCCATGCCATCCATGATCTCTCTGGGGGGTGCTGGAGAGTGGTGTGCAGGTTAGGATTGCTCCAAATGTAAATAGGTGAGTGACAGAGCTCCATGAAGCCAGCTTTGGGAAGAAAATACTTAGAGATTCATGTTTCTGTGAATGCTGTCTTGGTACAGGACAGGGAACCAAGCTTCCGTAGCCGACGACAGCACAGCAGACTACCCGCTGGGACAGCAATGGTGCTAAGAAGCCAGGGTGGCCAGTTGTGTTACTCCACACTCTGCTGCTCATTGTTCATAAGCAGGGACAAGTCTTACAAGACTTGTGTGCAGAGGACACATAAAGTAAACCCAAAAGCAAGTGCTGCATTCAGCATCTGTTTCCTAACTGAAGGCAGTCCCTGAATTTGAAGAGGAGTTTAGTACAGGAGAAAACCTGGGGAACTAGTGTATCTGGGTAGATGTGATTCCAGTGAGTGCTAGACACGCTGTACTGATATACAGGAGACAAAAAGTCGACAGCCTAAAAAGTATCAGCCTGTAAAGCCAAACACAAGCCAGCATGACATGAGGCACTGGTGGGAAATTGTAGCATGGTCCCATCACTGAAAGGAGATCCTGAAGAACAGAGAGCAGACTAGTGGTGAGATGGGCTTCTGTCCTTTGTCTTTAACGTGTGTTGGGGTAGAGTAATTGAGAAGCTGGGAAAAAAAGGCAGTGGGGCCCAAACTGCACTGCTCCCCTGAAACTCAGCCAAGTGCAACTCGTACATACGTCATGATCAAACACAGATTCGTCATCACTCAAGAAGGCAATCTTGAAGTCTGTGCAGACAAGCTTCCCATAGATGCCGCGCTGACAGGAATCTTCCTGGACATACTTGAGGACTGTGCTGGCTTCACAGAGCAGCTGTTCACCTGATTGAAATCAAAACAAGTCCTCCTTAGAGTTCTCAGGGAACATACAGTGTGCAAATAGTAAAAGCTCCCCAGGCTCTCCTTGTGTAAAGGCAAACATACAAAACAAAGTAGCACTTCAGAGCTCTGCACAGTTCCAGCACAGCTGGAGCTCCAAAACTGAGGCGAAAAGATCAGCAGTGGGGACCATGACAAGCAAAATTAAAATGGCTCAGACACACCTTAACTCTGGGCATTTCTCTATCTTCTCACTGTGAATAATGGAAGTTTTCAAATAAGTGGAAATGATCTCAGCTACACTTGCAAGCATGGGTCTTAGTGTTTTTATTACCTGCACTCAAGCACATACTCCACAGAAGTGATACCTATAGGAGTGAAGCCAGAAAGGCTCACCAGCATGCTCTACAGCAGGAGCCCTTAAGCCTGCTTTCTGGAGAGAGCAGGCCACCCTCCCTCTGGGATTGCTGAAGGAAGCAGGGTGTCTCCCTGGGTCTCGGGCAGCTCCCTCAGACAGGGGCGGCAGCATTCCCCCTTTCCAGCAGGACCACACTCACTCTGGCTCTCCAGACAAGGATGGGAGGAAAAGGGAGGTCAGGGGTTTGTGGGGGAAAAAACCTGTTTCCTCTCTTTCTTAGCTGAGGGTATTTCCTCTCAGTGTGACACCTTTCCTGCTCTATCTGCAGGCATCCAGCCCACAAAAGAAACTATTTCCTGGAGACAGTACTTCTCTTTATAATTCAGAAGATTCGGATTTAGGGACAGGTAAGCATTCTCTGCTCCCTGGAAATAGGGAAGCTCACGAGGGCTAGATATCCGGGTAAGGGCAGCAAAAAGAGGATATGGGGAAAATGAAAAACTAGGTAGAAATACTTGGCAACAAAAAAAGAAAAGGAATTTGCTTCTCTTCCAATCTTCCTTTCAGAATCTTCTCCTGGATATTTCCTTCAATGTCTTTACTTTATGGCTCAAAATTCATTTAGTCTAACTTTCAATATGAAGACAAAGAAAGGTTTCAGACACTAAGACTATCAAGGGACACATATTATGGTATTTTTTTCATCTTCTAAGGGGTTAATTACTAAGGAAATACTGGAAGATGGCTCAGTCACTAGGTTAGCCTCTAGAGAGACCACAGAGCGTGAAGAAAACAATGAAGTCAGGGTCTCATTAGGGCTTAAAACAGCCCCAGAAAAAGTGCCTTAGCTAAGTCCGAGGTGAAAGGCATGTGAGCAAAGCTCCCTGTGCTTGCAACTCCTAGTGCGAAACAGCATTTAAGAGTGAGTGTCTCCTGAAGACCGAGGGAGCCGTACCAGACGTGATCACGCCCTGGAGCCTAGAAACTGCTACCCGCTGGCTAACACAACATCCAGGGGAGGCTCTGGAGCATGGCACACCACGCCAGTTACCACCTCGTGTGTGCAGGCAGTCTCGAATTGTGGGGAAGGGAGCCAAGGGGAGAACAGATCTTAGAGTAAACTAAAAATGGAAGTTAACTTCAAGATCTATAACCCAATAGGGAAGCTCACGAGGGCTAGATATCCGGGTAAGGGCAGCAAAAAGAGGATATGGGGAAAATGAAAAACTAGGTAGAAATACTTGGCAACAAAAAAAGAAAAGGAATTTGCTTCTCTTCCAATCTTCCTTTCAGAATCTTCTCCTGGATATTTCCTTCAATGTCTTTACTTTATGGCTCAAAATTCATTTAGTCTAACTTTCAATATGAAGACAAAGAAAGGTTTCAGACACTAAGACTATCAAGGGACACATATTATGGTATTTTTTTCATCTTCTAAGGGGTTAATTACTAAGGAAATACTGGAAGATGGCTCAGTCACTAGGTTAGCCTCTAGAGAGACCACAGAGCGTGAAGAAAACAATGAAGTCAGGGTCTCATTAGGGCTTAAAACAGCCCCAGAAAAAGTGCCTTAGCTAAGTCCGAGGTGAAAGGCATGTGAGCAAAGCTCCCTGTGCTTGCAACTCCTAGTGCGAAACAGCATTTAAGAGTGAGTGTCTCCTGAAGACCGAGGGAGCCGTACCAGACGTGATCACGCCCTGGAGCCTAGAAACTGCTACCCGCTGGCTAACACAACATCCAGGGGAGGCTCTGGAGCATGGCACACCACGCCAGTTACCACCTCGTGTGTGCAGGCAGTCTCGAATTGTGGGGAAGGGAGCCAAGGGGAGAACAGATCTTAGAGTAAACTAAAAATGGAAGTTAACTTCAAGATCTATAACCCAGGAAAAGCAATAGACTATATGGATTGAGGTTTAGGCCATTATTATAGGAAAAAGGCTTTGAGACTTAAAAACATTTTTAAGAAGTTATGGGATTCCAATATATTTACCAAATAAGGGAGGGTCAGTCAGAAATGTGTGCATATTTATATCCTCCCAATAAACTGGAATAAAATAAAAAGTACCAGAACAAGGCTGCTATTGTTTAGGGAAAATGTACTTAAAAAAAAAAATTTACGAAAAAAAGCTGTTTGGGGTTGGAAAAAACAAAGTGGAAGAATTGAATGCCCAGCTCCAGGAGAGCTCCACACAGCGGACAGGATAGGCTACCTCTATCTGAGTTCAGACATAGCAGCTTGCCTTCAGCTCTAGGGTCACTCTCCTCCATCTTAAAAATGTCCAACCAATCCAGGCTCTCTGGTGGCAGCCCCAGGGTCAGTGAACCCCAGTGTGGTTGGCACTCACGTTCAGACAGGCAAGCAGTGATGAATACAGGTGAGGCTGCCACCATGGCCTGCCCAGCAAAGCCGGGCAGCTGTGTGAGTCGAGGGCAGCTACCGAAGCAGCAGAAAGAGTTGGGGGGGCCGGGGGGCGTAGGGCTCTGCAGGGTACCAAAACCTGGACTTTCCTGACTCAGGATCAGAACACTGGATAGGGACAAGTAAAGCAACCTGAAAAAGACCTCATTTGTTTCTGAAAGAGGTGAGAATTTCCCAGGTTTATTTTCACCAGCTTGTGAGGGGCAAGAAAAATTCTTTGCAGATGTTGTAATACTCCAACCCAGGTGTGTGGAACTAAAGACCTTGATGTTTTTGTCCAACTTGTTACTGTCTGGATGAAAACAAAGGAGTTTATATATAGTGATACTAGAGATGACATCATTAATCACTGGCTTTGAATTGCACATGAGGTATGAGACTCCCATGACTGTTACCTGGCAACAAGTGAAGAGTTGCTTCCTTCTCTGTTACTTCCTTTTCATTTGTATGAATTTCCTAAGAGAGAAGAGCAAAGGGTAATTCTGTTCTTTGTTTAAGGGCTCAAAATGAGAAACATAAAATCATGCTTTCAGAATACAGACTAAAACACTGAATTCTCTCAGGAGTTTTGTTTTTGACAAGCTAGTTACTTTTCTTGAAAGCATTTTAGGAGGAGAGAAAATTCCAACAAATTAGTTCAATGTATTAATTATTTAGGACTGATAGCTATAGTTGTCCCAAGTGGAGAGGCAGGGATGGGCACTCCCCATCTAAAAAAACAAATGTCACACTACAGAGTAAGCAGCTCAAACGCACTGAGTCAAAGAGATAAGGGAAGACATTCCATAGAATGACCCCTTTTACCTTCAGTGAGCATCAAGGATTAAAAGCAAAAGAAGATTGTGTATTCTTATAGAAAATGGACATATATAAAGGACAGGAAAATATGAATGTATTACATCAGTGCTGATCCATCTAATCAGTAGCATACCAGGACTCCGTAAAGGGAACTCAAAATGAGAACGTTCTTTGCCCATTCTAAGTTAGCTAAAACCACAAGACAAAGATACCAATATAATTACTTCTGATAAGAAATCAAGGACAGATTCCATGTCACTGTTTCTCAATGAAAATACTTTCAAATGCCTCCTTGTCAGGTTTGGTGTTTACTGGATATTCAAACATAATCAGCAATCCTTAATTAATTAATGGACCAAAGCAACAGTCATAAATGGCTATGGATAGATCTGAGAGGCATGGTAGGCCTAATGCAAACTTGCACGTCATCTATGAAGTATTCTTGCCAAAATATTTAACCTCAATCTGCTTGAGCTTCTATGTCAGTCTACCAATTTATGAGAAACACTGGGACAGAGAAACATAAAATCATGCTTTCAGAATACAGACTAAAACACTGAATTCTCTCAGGAGTTTTGTTTTTGACAAGCTAGTTACTTTTCTTGAAAGCATTTTAGGAGGAGAGAAAATTCCAACAAATTAGTTCAATGTATTAATTATTTAGGACTGATAGCTATAGTTGTCCCAAGTGGAGAGGCAGGGATGGGCACTCCCCATCTAAAAAAACAAATGTTAAATGACACCACAGGGATGCAACCAGTCAAATCCTGAGTGTAGAAAATTCTATACATTTTTTCTCTTGTCAACAAATAAAATTGGGATTGTTTTGTTTTCTTGGCAGAAGGCTCTAGGTGAAATGAGTTTTTTCCTGAAACATGGGATTAAAAAAAATCTGGGTACAGCTGGGGCAGGAAGAGGCTAGAGAGCTTATCTTAAGGCTGAAGAAGAAAGTCATGGCTGTTTGAGATAACCCATTCTGAGCATGGTCTATTTTAGAGATGCCTACAATTTCCACTTTAGGAAATGCCAGTAAATCAAATCCCTCTGAGACAGTGCTTCTCAGACTTGGGGAGTGTCAAATCATCACCTCTGCAGACACGCAGGCCTCACTACAAGCCTAAGGAATCAGTGTACGGGATGCAGCTGGGCTTCTGATTGTGTCGAAAGTTTCCCAGATGATTCTGATGCATTGGTCTACATTAGTCCCACATGAGGAACTCCTCTTGCATATGTAAATGCTATGACTATTCTGGTAATTTAGAAATTCTCATTGAGAATTTCCATCACCTGTTATTAGCAAAGAAATAAATTAAAGCACAATTATTTTTGACAGTTCTATCATCTTTGAGAGAAAAAGCTATTCATTAAATTATCAGCTGTTAGAAAGCTAGTGATCATCTTGATTAGGGCTTAGAACTCAGTTCAAAC